ACACACACATATACACCTTCTTTCCTTCCTTCCTTAACTCCCCTTTCCTTAGCCCCTCATCCCATCCCATTCCACCCTTCTCCCCACCCTCTAATCTAACTCACGCGCGAAAATAAAAATTAAATTTTCAACCATGTCGTGGTTTTAGAAAACTTATCATGAACTTTCCTTACGTTTAATACATTTTTTTCGTTTTTTCGGTGAAAGTTTCAATTTTTTTTTAAATTAAAAGAGATAAATTTTTTTCTCGGATAAAATTTTCTCCAAAAAAAAAAAAAAAAAAAAAAAAGAAAACTTTTTGAAATTTTACAAACCGACCGCGATTCTTATCATTAATAAAGACACAAAAAAAAACTTTTTCCCGCCAAAATTAAAACGAAAATGTAAAATTACAAATTTTTACGAAAGAGAGAAAAAGAGAGAAAAAGAGAGAAAGAGAGAGAAAGAAAAATTAAAAATCTAAAGAAGCACGCGGTTTATAAACGTGTAATTAGATTTTTTATATTTATATACACGAAAAAAAGGCGTGCGAATAAAAAAATCACGCGAGAGTTTTCCATTTTTTTCCATTTCGAACAAAATAACAGAAAAAAAAAAAAATAATAATAATAATGAAACGTCGTGTCACGAGACGTAAAATAAATAATTTATACGACGGAGAAAAGACAAAAAGAGAGAGAAAAAGACAGAAAGAGAGAGAGAGAGAAAGAAAAATCCGGTCGCGAATCGAATCCGAATTCAAATCCGTTCGGTTCGTTTTTATTTCCCGCCAAATCGAACGACGTCCTTGAACGGTTTTTTTTTTTAAATTTCAAATTCGTCATCCACGTTTATAATGATGATGATGATGATGATGATGATGATAATAATAATAATAATAATAATAATAATAATAATAATAATAATAAATTAAATCTCATTAGTTATAAGGCGTCGACCGTTTGCTAATCGAACCACCCGGTGGAACAATTCAAATAACAATAAACGATCGATCGATTGATCGATTTTTCTCATTCATCGATTAATCGATCGATTCATCCATCGATTCACGTTTAAAAAAAAAAAAAAAAAAAAAAAAAAAAAAAACATTTTCGGTTCAATTCCGGTTCGACATTATCTTGGCTCCATTAAAAAAAATAAAATTATTATAATTATTTGTTTGTTTTTGATTCTCCGCGTTTGTCGTCGTTTCGTTTTTTTTTTTTTGGTAAATAAAAAACAACAACAACAACTATAATAATAATAATAATAATAACAATAAAATTTGAGTTTTTCGCCTTTTTATACTGCGGGGAAATCCGATGATGACTCGTGGGCGACCCGCCATCATGTTTTCCCACGCGTTTTTTTTTTTTTTTTTATTTGTTTGTCCGTTTAATCGTATTTTTGTTGTTGTTTCGGGACGTTTAACCCCGGGGGGGGGAACCGGGCTGAAATTGGCTAAATAATAGTAAAAAAAAAAAAAAAAAAAAAAAAAAAAAAAAACAATAAAAATACAAATGATAATTTTAAAAACCCGATGAAATGTCGATACGCGTTTAAAAGTAAAAGACAGAGAGAGAGAGAGAGAGAAACAGAGACAAACGGAAGACATTAACAGAGAAGGGGGGAAGAAAAAAAAGAGAGAGAGAGCAGGAAAGAAGAAAAATTGATATGCTTTTAAAAGGAAAAGAGAGAGAGAAACAGACAAAAACGGAAGACATTGACAGAGAGATGGGAGGAAGAGAGAGAGAAAGAGAAAGAGAAAAATCAGGAAAAAATATTAAAAACCTGGTTTCCGGAAGACGACAAAAAAAAAAAATTTTTACAATCGTATTAAGTCGTGGCATTAATTTATCGACCGCAGGTAGGTAGGTAGGTAGGTAAGCAGGTACGACAGGAAAAATTTCCACCAAAGTTTCCCCCTCCCCCTCTCCTCCTCTTTTTTTTCAAGAATTTCCTTTCATTCGCGTAAAAGGAAAAAAAATATAATAATAATCAAACGAGATGATATTTCAACTTCCGGCCAACAAACAACAACAACCCCAACCATTTATTATTTTTTTTCGTCAATTTCCGAGAGAGAGAGAGAGAGAGAGAGAGAAAATAAAAAACATAATAATAATAAGAAAGAAAAAAAAGGTCAGTCAATAATGTCGCAGCAAAAAAAAAACTCAACACGGAAAAAGTCGATAAAAAAAAAATTAAAAAAAAAAAACGAGTAAACAAACAAAACAAACAAAGAATAGAAAAAAAATATTTGTCTCCTTCCACTTTTTTAAAAAAAAAAAAAACTTTTCCCATTTTCACCAAAAAATAAAAATAATAATAACGCATGTGTCGTCAATTATGAACAAAGAAAATTCCACGGTTACAATACATCCGGTTTCTTTTTTCCCCCCCTCACCCGACACGTCCGTTCGGAAACGGAAATTCCTCTTTTCCGATCCCTCTACTCCCCCTCCCCCGAATACCCGAAAATCTTATCGAAAAAAAAAAGAAAGAAAAAGAAAGACGATCACTTTTTATCACAAATCGATGTGAAATATAGAAAGCATGTACGATCGCACGTACGCACACACGTGCGCGCGTACGATACACAACGCACGCATCATTCGTACGATGATAATAATGATGATTGTGATGATGACGTATGAAATATTCGAAAAACAAAATAAAAAAAATTGC